TTCTTCTGTCATCCAGGCTCTTTTGTTTGCCTTGTAGTCAACTGGTAAACTTTTCACATTCTTAAAACATCTAGGTTTAGCGTATTTGCCTATAACGAACGGCTTCAGTTTATCGATTCCAGTACTGTTTGCACAAAGTAGAACAGTAAACCTCTGTTTTGATTTTTTACTGCCTTTACAATTTTCTCCCTTCTTACAATTTTCTCCCTAAGAATATTACATACAAAGGAGATGGGGAAGAAAAAAAAAAACATTTTGTTATCTCACATTTAGGCTCGATGGGGAGTCGTTTTCCAACGGTAGAAAAATCGGAATAGAACTATCAACTATCAAAAGAGGAAAAATTATCGTTGTAGACATGTTTAACTGAAAAGTGGTTATCGCTATAAACAGGTTAAAAATACATTGAGTAAATAGGAATTTCACCGGGACCTCAAGGAAATATCGCTATAGACAGGTTTATCATTATAGACAGTATCGTTATACACAGGTTTCACTGTATATATAATATAAATAACTTTTTGAAATATACTCATAAAATAGTATAAGATGGTAATTTATAAATTGTTGAGGATAAAATTCAGTTAGTACATAATACTACACATTTTGATAAATATTTACAATATTTAGTGAGTGCCCTTTTAAAATTTAAAGTACCCCTTTAAAGAGGAAATGCTCTGTCTCTTTTTATTCCTAGGGATAACTCTGAAATGCAGGCAGAGATGACACCAAGGTTGATTTTAATCCGGGCTAATCCCAGAATTCTGTTTTTTTTTTCTGTCTATTTTTCTTTCTTTTTTCGTATCAATCGCCTGGGCCTCAAAACTTGAAGCAGGACATGTGAGTTTTCTATGAATATCGCATAATTCCGCATATCTCAATATCATTGGTTCGTGGACTTACGTGAATCAAAATCTATTAATCCTGCGATTTGTATTTGGATTGCGCTGCGATTTGTATTTTCATAATTTAGAAACTGTGGATCGTGATCTTATATTCGTGTGATTTAAAAAAAACCAATATCATGATTTGTATTCACTTGAGTTTAAAATCCAATGTCGAGATTCATATTCACAAGTTTTAAAAGTCCAATAATGTGATTTGTATTCACACCTTTGTCATATCAAACATCGGTATTCATATTTATACGGGATTTGAGAACTATGCATCATGATACATATTCACACATTCTAAAAATTATGCATTGTGATTTGTATTTACGCGATTTAAGAATTCAATATCACAATTTGTATTTACACGATTTAAGAATTCAATATCAAATTTTGTATTTTTGCCTTTTTAAAATCCAATATTCTGATTCTTGCAAGGAGTAAGTTTTTTCTTGAATTAATTACTATAAAGGTGTGATATTTTTCATTAGTAGGTAATTTAATTATAAATACTAGTACAAAAACCTATGTTAAATATGAAACATGTATGGAATATAAATTAATAATTTGATGTCAATTTCTTGCACAACATTTTCAGGGTTTTTTCACTTCGTGTTACAATTACCCATGTAACACACTTGATTACACAGATTTCAGTCTTTTTATGATGCATATCTTTCTTCATGTGTAATCTGAAACTCTTGCCTCCCATTTATAATGTTTTGTCCGCTGCTAACTCTGGGGAAAATATGGTAGTTTGATTTCAAACAAGATATTTTATGCGGCAAAACTTAGTTTCGAGCACTGAGTATATGGTCACCAATTGAGAGCTTGCGATCAGAAATTTTATTCCCTGTATGCAGCTAAATACAAATGAATATCAATAAGAAATCAAAATGTAAACAAAATGATAAAGGACATTTCAAGTTATTCAGAGAAGAGCCAGAAACATTTGCTAAAATAAGTTCTTAACATGGTAAAATAGGAGATATTTTTCAATGTATCAAAAAGTTAGCAAAACTAAACTTTAAGTGAAGAGGTTTGATTTTAGGTAATATTTGTTTTAAATTTGTTTGGCTTCATAGAGTTCCTTAAATTATCAGTAATATGTGTTTTAAATTTTCTTCAATGGATAATCTGGTACTTTGGGATTATCCCATCAACCATTATCGTACTTTGGGATTATTTTGTCGCCTATTTTCACCAAACCCGATATTATCTCCAAAAGGTAGCTTTTGTGCCAATAACCGCAAATTTTATATTCACCCAACACAGCAAAAATACCCTAAAACACTTAGATTCATATTTAAACAAATTTATGTGACGACGATTGCACAAGGATAATGACTTGCTTTTTTGCGCTTTAAAAGCTATCAAGGAGTTTTGGTCGCTGAAATGATTTATAATAATATATGATTAGATTCAAGAATAATTTAAGGTGTAATTATTAAAAAAAGAAGTTTTTACTTTGTTTTGATTCTTTTTATTACACTTTTTTATCACATATTTTTGCACTTAAATTTTTTTGTTGCTATAATTATTATTATTATTATTATTTGATAATTTTAATGTATTTAGAATGTTTATTTTGTAATTTACTTTTCATTATGATGGTGCCAAGGGAATAGCGCATTCTCGTGAGCGTTGATATGTCGACGGAATAATCCCAAAGTACCGATAATCTTTATTTTGCCTTTAACTATACTGTTTGCTACTGTTGAAATTTTGTAGTAATAAATAACATATTTTTGTCTTCCAGCACTTGTTTTTCCAACAGCATGGATGTGGATCACATGATGCTCAACAGAAGTACAACAGCAGAGCTGCTCAATTATATCGTGAAAAATTGCATCATTCCGCTGCAGCTGCTATGAGACTTCATGGAACTAAGGTAAGTTTATTTTTCTTTGTAAATTGCTAAATTTAAAATAAAAATTGGTATCTGAATACGGGGAACAAGACCAAGCTGACATGAGTAAAAGTAACACAGGACATATCTAATGCAGGAATACTAGAAATCCAATGTAACATTAGTTAATTATATATAAACAAAAAAGTAATATGGGGTTAATTGTCTCATAAACTACATATCTAGACAATTTTTCTGAAGTGTTCTCACTTTGCTATATCTGAAGGAGCCTGACTTTTTTACATAGTTAAAAACTATCTATAAAATTAAGAGAAAAAACAAACCACAAAACATATGATTTATTATTAAATAGCATATCAACTAATTTGAAACACTATAATGCTGCACATTTGGGATCAATTAAAAGGTTAAACAACATGTTGCATTGTTTGTATTGTTTGTCATAGTTTAGCAAAGCTCTTCATTTCTAGTTTTAGTTAAGTACTTAATTTTTGTTTGGAATTTTTATTAATAAGGTCAACATTTTATAGCATTTCAGAAAATATTCTCAAAAATAGTTTTAAATTAGCATTTTATTTTAAGTTTCCATATTAAGTACTCTCTACCTTTTTTCCATAAGAATATTTAATGTATTATAAGGAATTACAGTGATATATATGCAGTGTAAGGTTCCATTTACGGAATTATCGAACTTTGGCAGGTCCGGAAAATATATTTTTCCGGATAATAAGTCTTCAAGGTAAACAGACATCAAAACATTCTTATTCAATAAAAAAGTAACAAAAAGACTATAATTATCGTCAATTCCAATCAACAACGAATAAATTCATGTGGTTTGTGTGGTTGCACTATTTTTGCAACTTTTGCTACAGAATTCCACGTGGTTTTTAAAATCTCCATATTTTAATTTGCCATTATAATGTACTGCAATTTCCGAATCGTGCATTTTTGTTAGTAATCATTTCTCGATTTACTCGATTAATGACGATTCCACAGTGAATCTGTGTGGCTTTGAAGACCTTTTTTTGGTAGAAATGAATTTTCACTTGGTTTTTAAGATTTCAATGTTTTAATACGATATTATTTTGTTCAGCAAACTTAGAATCGTGCATTTTGCACTCAATTCTTGACGATTCATACACAGTCCCATGTGAATTTTTTGCATTTTTGTCAATCGCATTTTGGCCAGTCAATGCAGTCCATTTTCATTGTTTTTTAATTCTACATTATCATACACAGGAAATTTTGAATTGTGCATTTTGTAGAATTTCTTTTTGATGTGTGACAATTTTATTGTCCACATGGTTTTTGTCAGTCCTATTTCATCAGTTTGGAAATTCCACCTTGTTTTGAAATTTTGGAATTTTTTAAAATTATTATATCATTACGACCCGCAAGTTCCAAATCACACTTTTGAATAATCACTTAATGACACGCTTTAGTCGTGATTTTGTCTCAAATCCGCAATTTTTACAAATTGTGAAATTTTTGCATACCCTGAAATTGAGTTTTATATATACATTTATATATATTTCATTTTTTTTATTAAATTATATTTCAGATTCACATTGAAATTCCTCATGCTGAAGCACCTATCTCACCTGAAAAGAAAGAGCACGACTTTTTTAAAGACATTGATGAAGCACATTTGTATCATAAAGATGATATAAATGATACAATAAGCAATGGCTCTTGCCTTAAAAATTCAGAATTTTCGCAGGAATCTAATAATATGGGTAATTATTTCAAAGGCAATATTATTTTCAATTTCGGAATTACTTGAGATTACAAGCCTAAAATAAAATGTAAACTTAAAGTATTGTGGTAATTTTTAAAATGTTTTATATTTTGTGATTGGTATTAAGAAAAGAGTAATGCTAAACCCTAATGTCTTAAATATTTTTAAGTATATTCTTGCCATATTTAAAATTTTTAAAAATAACTTTAGTTTTTATTAAATTTTAAAATTAATTAATAATGTAAAATTAATCATTAATATAAAATGAATAATTAATGTAAAATCAATATTTTTGACCTATTGAGTGTTTTCATTGAAATCATTATACAACAAGCCATTATAAATAGAATCTTGTGGTATAATATTTTTAAGAAAATATTTTCTCAAAATTCTAAACTTTTTATATTAATAAATTTTAAAATTAATTATATAAATTAATAATTAATATAAAATTAAAAATTTTGACTTATTCAACATTTTCACTAAAATCATCATAGAAGTCAGTATAAATAAAATCTTGTAGGTTATTTTGACAGAATGTTTTATTTAATTATATAAAGAAGTATTGTGTAATTTTCTATTAAATTTGTTTTTATTATTATTAATGAGTAATATAATTTCCTTTTTATCTTTTAATAGATTCTAGACTAGGTGTATCTCTTGATCCGATAGCTAGTGATAAATTATCAGAGCCTAAAAAAGCTTCTTTAGGAATCCGAAAACCGAATGCTGCTAAAAAAGGGGTAATTTTATTTATTACAAATCTATATATTTTTATTGCTTTAAGCTCTAAAAAATGTATAATGATTAGGATGTTGTGTAAATGTTCTTTCTGGTATTGTAAACTGGCTATATTTTTGGCTTTATTAATGAATTTGAATTCTTTATAAATTGAATTAGATTTTATTTTTAGCATATACTTTCTGCAAAATGTTAATATTTGGTTGATGTCAATTATATTTTGTAGTATTTAAATTTTCTGGTTTATACATTTAAAACCCTACCTTCTAGTTTAACAAATTGTTTTCTAAGATATACCAATGAGTGTTTAGTGAAATTCTATTGTGATAAGTTTATTGATTTGATAATAAGCTTCAAACAATGTATCAATATCAGGGTCTGAGCTAAGTTTAAACGTTGTTTGGCAGAAATAAATCATTGAAAAGTTGTAACAAAATGCTAAAATGGCTATTTATTTTGAAATTTGTAAGCAAAATACTTCAATTATAATTGTACTTAACATAGAGTAAAAACTAATTCTATGACAGTACCAGTCCAAAATAACCTGTTTAAGCTTAGAACATGACTCTTAAAAAATATTAAATCTGAATGAATTATTATATTGTTGAAATTTATAGTAATTTGAACATTGTAACCATGATTTCTATCCTCTTTTATGTGCATCAAATAGCCTTATTTCAAGCTTAGATTATACTTTATTTGAAATATCTCATCTATTCATGTAGATATGCTGTCTATTCATTCAAATTTAATTGTATTTCTCATCAGTTTATTTTATTTTTTTAATTTTTTGTTTTAATTTTTTTTAAAATCTAATTTTATAAATTGTTTTTGCAAAAAAGCTTGCTTCATTTACACATTTTAGATAATCTTTTGGTATTTAGCAAGAAATACTAATTGCATTTTAATAAAGTATTTAGTGCATTTTCAGTTCCCAGTCTTGTCTAAAAATTACTGTGGTTAGAGATATTATGATAGATAAAACTAGTTAGATTAAAAATTTTTCTAGTATTATATTTTTTTATTGAGCTTTAAAAGGAATTTTGTCCATTCATTTGTTTACTGTTAAGGAAGAGTTGGTATTAAAAAGAAAAATTTACTCGAGTTTATTTTATTTTGATTTTTCAAAATATATTAATTTTTCTCTTTTAGTTAGGAGGAAAAAAAGGATTAGGTGCTCAACGTGTGAATGCTAATTTTGATGATATTGAGAAAGAAGCTGAACAATTAGATAGATTGAGGGAGCAAGCTGAAACTGCATCAGCTGTTGAGATTCCCCCTGAAGAACAAGAAAAGCAAATGTAAGAGTTTATTACTTATTAAAAGTTTTTTTGATGTAATTCTAGCAAATTTTTTTTCACAACTTCTTTTCCTAAATAAATCTATTAAAAACTCATGTATAAAAAGGAAACTGCTAATTAAAGTACAGCTGCCAAGTCTTTTTCAATTTAATTGGGAATATTTAAGTTTTTATTAGAATTTTTGTCTTAATTTCTTATTTTGCCTTTTTTTTAATGTAATTACTTACAAATATTTTCCAAAACAAATTTGTGTTTCCTTTTAAATTAAACTTTAAAATTAGTTAAAAATCATACAATTTATGTTAATTATTTTAGTGTAATAAGTAATTTAAAATTGGTTGTTAATTAGAATCTTTATTGATTGTTGCATGGTTGTATTTTAAGCAATCTTTAGCTATTTTAAGTTGGGTTGCAAACCTGAGACATAAATGGGTAAAAAAAAAAAAATCATTACATTGTATTTTAATTAGTTCGCATGAAGGATGAAAGGTTTGTTTAATGTGCAATGAAAATATATGTTTGCAAATATAATATTTTTAACAAAAAGTAATTAAGCATAGAATTTTTTTAGCCAAATATTAGAAATGGATCTAAATAAATTAATAATTGATCATTAATTTTTTATATTTTTTAATGAGCCATTTGCTGCTCAAATCAATTAATTCCACTTCTTGAGAAATTTTAAGAAATAACATACATTTTTAGATCTGATTTCCTCTTGTTTTGTGCAGTTTATCAATGTGTGATGAGAACAACTCGAAAGTTTTGGTTTACAGGTTATTAACTATGAATATCAATCAAGATTTCTTAAATATATAAAAAAATTTCAAAGAAAATATTTTCGATGCATATGTTGTAGTTTATGAAAAATGCAGATTTATGCAAATTATATTTTAAAATAATTCTTTTAACAAGATAACTCATTCCTGACATGTCTCAAACAATAAAATTTTTTAACATACATGTTTTTTATTTAAAAAAATTTATTATATATATCCACGCTGTATAAACAAATGAGAATCCAAGATTTTTGTCTAACAAAATTAAACAAAAAGAACTAAAAATAGTATATTTTGTTAGTAAAATGTTGTTAAAGGCATGCTCTGAGAGCAACCATTGTCATTGTAAGATAGCTGATTAATCATTCTTAAAGTGGCTTATTCAAGTAGTTTTTTCGTTGTCTGATTTTTAAGTTCGACATATATTTATTAAATTGTTTATCTGATTTCAGTAATTATTAATTTTTTACTTCATTAAAATTGTATGTATGCATTTTTAGGGCATCTGTTCGATTAGCTTACAAAGATTTAAGTCTCGAGCAGAAAAAAACTGAAGAGAAATTACGGCAAACAAATCCTAAAAAAGCTGAGCAGTTAGAACGTTTAGGAATGGGTTTTGGTGGAAGGAGCACTGGGCCGGTCGCTCACTCTGCAGCATCTGAAATGAAGCTTATAACTCAAGAAGCGCCTGCTGGTTCACAAAAATCTAAAGATAAGGAGGGAGATTCTGATGATTTTTTTGAATATTTAGGATTTACTAGTGGACCACCCAAGTATGTTTGTAAATAATTAGTTTTTTTTTTTAATTTTTAAAAATGTGTATTTTACCACATATAACTGCTATGACAGCCCTTTGTGGGCCAGAGCCTTCCCTAGAATCTTCCTCCATTCTACTCTTTTCTTTGCGATTTTTCTCCAGATAGTAAATTTTAGGATTTTGCAATCCTCTTCCACGCAGTTAAGCCATCTGATCTTAGGCCTACCTCTAACTCTAATTCCCATTGGTTTGAAATTGAAGATCTTAAGAGTCAAGAAGGAAGGGTCCATTCGACAGATGTGACCTGCTAGTTTTAAGCAGCTTATTTTGATGTATTTGTTCATATCAGTTTCCTTGAATAGCTTGTATAGTTCAAAATTGTGTCATCTCCATAAGCCATCCACATTCATAGAACCAAAGATTTTTCTCAAGGCTTTTTCTTTTGAAAACAGTTAGCGGATCTGCTTGCTATTTAGTTAAAGGCCATGTTTTGGATCCATAGGTCAATAAAGGTCTAATGATTTTTTATATAGCATTATTTTTGTTTGTCTTCCAATTAATTTTGATTTTAGAAATGTTCTTAAGCCGTGAAGGATAATTATTAGCTGCTATAATGTCTCTTTATTTTGTACTTATATCGTTTAAGGCATTAATATTTGAACCAATATAAGTGAAATTGTCAACAAGTTTATATGCAATAATTTGATTATATCAAATAAGATTATTAAGGTTATACCCTTTAGTATTATATAAACTGGGCCCGCGCCAAGTGCCGCAAATTATTTGCGGATTTTCAAAATTCTTAGTCAAAGACAGAACTTAAAACTTTTTATGATTGATTTCCCCCCATTAAAAACTCAAATCAAAATACAAATTTGGAGTAAAATTATTTTATAAAAGGCAGTCAAGAGTCATTTTGCAGTTTGGAAGTAGTAAATAAGATATTAATGGGAAAGAAATAGGAATAGGTTGGGGTTAATTTTTGTTAACTTCTTAGACAAGAGGCAGTAATATAATGGTAAACCTAAAGCTACGTTATGTTGTTAAGTTTTTTATATGTTATTTATTGTCAGGAGAAAAGATATTTTTCTGCTTAAATAGTTGGATGATAATATTCATCTTGCTACCACTTAATCTGTTTTATTACACAAACTGTAGGCAGAATTTCATTGTGCGATATCGCGTGAGGCCAACAAACTTATTAACTATTCATCTGTATTTTATGGTAGTTGGTGTTATGCTTTAGTAATCTTTCTCGTTGCTTATGGTTAGAGTATCTAGATTTAATATAATTTACAATTATTTTTGCTAAATTTACGATTTTAGCATATTTTGCGAGGTGGCAAATGCCTAGTGGCCCTGTATTAAATTGAATGTCCTTTTTAATAGAATGTATTTTTTAAAAAACAATGCTGTAAATATGGGGTCATTCAAAAGTTACATGAGCATATATTTTAAATTCCCTCAGCCCCCTTATCAGTGAAAACAAACACTTTCCAATCTTGTGTGAGAAAGTCATATGCATATACAAGACTTTGTTTTAACTTTTTACTGCTGTGATCTGTAATAATTTACTAATTTTAGGATTCCAATAAATGATCTAACTTTGCCAAATCAAAATTAATGTTTTGATTAATTTAATAAATTTTTGAGTGGAATATTTTTTAACAATCTTTTGTGTTTTTCTTCAAGCCCTTTAAAAAAAAATGTTTCTTCAACAATTTTTTCCACCAAATTTTCCTTTTATTTCAAATATAAAATTTTTTCTGAATCCAATTTTTTAAAATTTTTTTTTTCAAGGAAATGGGATTTTAATGTAAGCATTTCTCATGTAAGCATTGCTCTTTCTGGGGCGGTTACAAAACAAAAAAGTGAGGCAATTTTAACAATCTAGAAATGTCAGAGAATTTAACATATATACTCAAATAGTCATGAAAAATGAATAAATTTGATATTTAGATCTAAAAATATGATGTTCTATTTTTTTCCCTCCAAAAACATTTGTCTTGTTATAGTATTTTTTTTTCTTCTGGAGATTGGAGAAAATCAGCCTGGAAAAATTAGGGAAAAGTCCATTTTTTTCCTGAGTATTTCTGGTCATATTGTCATACCCCTCCTCTTTCCTTTTCAGCAAAATAAGTAAATAACCAACCCCCTTTGGAGTTAGATATTTGACAATGCAGGCTTTGCTTTTGTAACCTTTGAACACAGGTCTATACTTGCCCCTACTGGTCTATACTTGTAATAAAAAAAAAGCAACAACTATATTGTTAGTATAACACTAACACTAGTAACAAACTGCAATTCTTTAGTCTGCTAAGACTTGACATATTTCAAATTGTTTTACTTTTTCTGTTCTTTTCGAAAATTTTGCTTTTTATAATTATAATAATTGATCATTGTTAAAATAAATAGGACCACATTTTTCCAAATCGGTAGTAAAGCTTCCCACATCCAAATCTAGTAAAAAAAAAAATGCTTTATCAGAATCAGAGGGAGGTTTCATAACTGATTTTTTAATTTAAAATATTATTTGCACATTTTAACTAGCAGTTTTAAGTTTGCACCCTTTTTATTTTATTTAAACGATTGAAAACTCCTCATGCACCGCAAAGTATTGCATGATGCTTACAGAAGTAAGTAGAAAACAAAAACAAGAAAATTTACAAATTTACATTAAAAACAAAATTCCGCTAGGCAGCAAGACTTTTGACACTTTTGACCAGTTCTGATAAAACAGGAGGCCAACAAATGAAAAGATGCCTCATATCAGTCAGGTCAATGAGGTTACACTCTTGAAACATTAAAATAATTTTGTGTAAATATCCAATCACTAGATTAAGAGTATCAGAATGTTTTATTTTTTATTTTCACTCTATAATTTTTTTTTTTGCATATATGAAGATAGTTCATTTCTATTCAGAGATTCATAGCTATTTTATATCTTGTATTTAGCATGAAGTCTGTTTAGCGTTTTCTTTCTTATTTATTCATTATAAATTATTATTATTATTTATTACAGATATGGGGACAGTCCATTTTTATCCAGAGATTCATCTTATTCTAGATTAAATGATATAACTGCAAAAGGTTCCTGGATTAATGAAAAATTAGAAAAGCGGCCATCCATTGATTCCACTTCTTCCAAAGGATCGTCAAGGTTTGTATTATTATCTTAATAAATTTAAACTAAATAAGTATCTAATAGCATTTTTAATATCAGTTTATACTTTTTGCCCAAAAATTTATAATTTTTTAGCTATATTTTTTATTGAAATATTATAATTTTTTTAGTTTCCTATTCCTAACCGTCAAAACTTGTTTTAAAAACTGTTTCCATAAATAAGCTTTTGGCCTTTACTGATTAATTAATGTAACACTTTTTATTAAATATGTAAGTAAATAAATTTTTCTAGTTTTGAGTATTTGTATATTCTTGTTACCCATAAATGATGTTATGATTATAGTGTGTCTAAATATTTAATAATGGCTTTGTTTTATTTTGATATTTTATTAATGCTAACTCTCCAAAAATCATCTGTTTTTTAACATCTGGTGTGGATAGAGCTCTGGGGACTCAGGACTAGCATAGTGTAACTTAATGTCTTGCTGACGTTTAATTTAAAGGCTTATTCTATCTTGCATACATTGGAATGTTACTTTTAAAAGGTAACAAGTAAAAGTACGAGTAGTTTAATCCGGAGTAACAAGTAAAAAGTACGGAACGAAAAATGTAGCGATTTTAAAGTACGTTTTGAGGAAATCAAACAAGTCAAGGTTCTAAGTTTTAAAAGTAACTAAGTAAAAGTGGGCAATTCCACGGAAGTGTCAACTTTTAAGTGAAAATTTTTTTTTTTTTGAATTGCATATTTTAATCTTAGAAATATGTTCAAAAATAGCCAAAGTCTACATATTGCCGTTTCATTTTTGATAATTTTAAATTTTTTGAATCTGGCAGCATTCTAAAGTAATCACATGGCTGACAAGTGAATTGTTCACATTTGTGCTCAAATTGTTTTCTTGAAAAATACTTATAAAATAAAAGAAATGTATCTTTCTTTTGCAATATTTTGATAAAAATATGCATGTAGTACAAAATTTAAACATTTAAGACATTATCATTTTAAGTTTAATATATAAAATAAAAGTAACTTCTTTTACGCCATTCCGTCACATGTCTTAATAATGCATAAATTTCCTGAGAACGAAGATCAGACGTGACATTGGCAAGTTAGACACAAAACCTCTTCAGAGACAACCTAATTTTCAAACTGTTGAAATTTTTACTAATTCTTACATAAATATTAATCCTGTTTATCTGTTACATTCTGTTTATCATTTACATATTAATAAAACATTTTTTAAATGAAGGCTTTCTTCTACTAAACTTTTTGTCATTCCGTCACGGTCATTCCGTCACAGCAAATAGATGTTAATAACTGCTAGCCAACCTGAGGTTAATTTTCCAAATTCACATTTTACATTGCTTACACATTATACTAAAAGTATAAAATAGTTCAGAAAAATAATAGCTGCAAAATTCGCAGAAACTACCAGTTCTAAGCGGCATGCCAAAAGCTTGGTTGCCGAAATGTCATTCCGTCACGCAAATAAAAAGTTCGTAAAATTAAAAGTAAAAAAGATAGAAAATCCTGTTTTTTTTAGTTTATGTAGCGCATTATGCCAATAATATTGATATGCATGAGAAAAAAAAATGTTTATTTGAAATTAGATACATAGAAACTTCAATTAATTGTTATTAACTGTTTTTTTAGTTTATGAAGCGCATTATGCCAATAATAATGATATGCATGAGGAAAAAAAATGTTTATTTGAAATTAAATACATAGAAACTTCAATTAATTGTTATTTTGCAAGTCAAAATATCATTCCGTCACATATGGAATTGCCCAGTATGTACTTTTTACTTTTACTTTCATTGCAAGTAACGAAAGTAAAAGTATTGCCACGTATGCTATCTTGTTTTCTGTATATTTCTTAATCGAATTAAGTAAACAAATCTGTATAATTTTCCAGTTTATTAATTAACAAGTTTGATAAATGTTACCATTGTTTACTATAATGACAACAAAAGAACTAAATGTATCTAATTTTCTAAACTAACTCTATTTAATAACTATTCTTAGTGCCGTGATCAGTGTGGATTAAAGACTTTTGTTTAAATAATATTGCATGGATTTTTATATTCAATAACTTTTAATAACTTTCTATATTTATAATGCTGAGTATTGTTATTTTACTGATTGACAAAAATTCCTTTTTGCCCATCTTTTTATTGCAGAGTGTTATTACTTAAGTGATTGGAAAAAATTCTTTTTGCCTATACCATCTTTTATTGATTTATTAATTCTTATTTTATCTGTCCTATTATAGCAGAGTATTAATATTTTAGATATGTATAATTAATATATATTTAACCAAATCTCCAAGATTGATTCTCTCTTTGGTATTCTACTTTTATATTCTTTCAAACTTATTAATTTTTTGATTGATAATTCTGCTTAGGAAAGAAATGTATATATATAAGTTTGTAATTTTTTTTTTTCGCATAGTGGAAGTAGAGCAAAGAAATCTGCATCAACTTCCAATTTAGGATCTAGTGATGAAGCCCAAAAAAAGTTTGGGAACGCTAAAGGAATATCATCTGACCAGTTTTTTGGATTGTCAAGTGATAATGATGTAAGATAATACTTGCTAAAAATTTTTTTTGCTTATTTTTTTATCTTGCTCTACATTTTTACAAAAGCTACTTATAATAATAATAATAATGAGTTTGTTATCCATACATTTCATCATATTTATTGTTTATTATCCATTTATTTAACTTTCCTTATGCTTTCTCAAAAAATAGTTATAATATTAAAATTATATTTTTTTAGCCCCCAATTTGTATATTATCTGGGATAATTGTTTAAGATTTTGAAGATTTTTTTATCAAAAAAAAGAAAAAAAAATTCATCAATTCTCTTAAAGAAAATGAATTCAAAAATCAATCAATTAGCCTTGGTGTCTCAGGGGATGGAACATTCACCTTTCAATGAGGTGACTCTGATTCATAATCCAGCAGTGACTGGTTGATGCAAATTCTGTTCCCGGTTCACACTGACCGTAGTGCTAATGTAAAATATCCTCTGCGGTAGACGAATCATGAGTTAGAATCCCCTTGCCATCTGATAATCTAACTGTCGTATGTTTTCGTGGTTTTTCTCTCCATGTAATGCAAATGCGGGTAAATGCCATAAAAAAGTCCTCAACGAAGAATAGTTCAACCCAGTGCTTGGTCCATGAGTTCCCTTGTCTTCTGGGGTCGGTATAATATTACAAGGCAACAAATTTCATTGATAGTTGTAAACTCAGAATCGGGTTGGCTGTTCAATACCCTTTAAAAATTAAATATAATTTCTTTTTTTAACTTATGTGCATTTTTTCAAAAAAGTTCATTGATTCAATTTTTAATGTTCTGCTATAAAAGGGATTATTTGAAATATCAATTATAATATTTCAACTATAGCAACTCATATAGAAAATTAGTGTTGAAAGGATTTTGTGTTGTGCTTAAGGGTTTTAGTTGATAAATTTAGTTTAATGTTTTGCAAACATTTTCTAATGATGTGGAAAAAGATAATTTAAGTTTTTTTTTAAAAATAAATAATAAACATGCTTTATGTAATGAAGTTTAATGCAAAAAATATCGTTTTGATGTAAAAATAGCGCAATATATTTAAATATTATGATCTTTGCTTTTCTGTGTGTAAGGAAAAAAAAAAAAGAGTATGATTACTTTGCATAAAACATTAACTGAATGATACTAAATAGTATCGATAGTTCAGGTAAAACATTTACTGACTAATTAAGGAAGTCATTTTTTAATGTTTCAGTTCCTGATTGGTTATTTGTTAAAATCCACATCAGTTGGCAATGCTAGGCTACCATTTCCAAATGTCAGCCAAATATAATTCCATTGTGCAGATCAAATTAGCCTTATCCCTCTCATTAAACTCAAGTTTAACAAAACCAATGAAAAGTTTGAAACCAATGAAATGGTGCCAGAATTATAAATTGTAGATCTGTCATATTTGCATTTTTCTCATATGTGATTTTACTGTTTGCAATGCGAATTTAGTCCAAAAATTGAATTTATTAGACTGTGATATCTAATTATCTTCAAACTTAAATGGTGAGACAACTTAGCATCATTTAATGTTATTTTGTCTTTCAATTTACTATATATAATCTATAGCTGTAATATGAAGTTCAATGCAGTGTGCGGAATTATTAATTTTAAAGTTGCTCTGCGACTGTAAAAGAATCTCTAATTTAAACTTTTTTTGGGGGTTTAACGCTATAAAGTTTGATAAACGTTAACTGCTTCCCTAATTATCCAGAGCTAACTCTGGTATGTGTATATGTTACAAATATTTATTATCTCGAGTAAACTCGGGCGTAGCAGAATTTGCCAGTACTTATTGTTTTATCACATTTTGACTCAACCGAAAGTTTGCCAAGTTTATCTTTATTAAATTCAAGTTATCTTTGACCATTCATTGTATCAGTAGCAGAATTTGCCAGTACTTATTGTTTTATCACATTTTGACTCAACCGAAAGTTTGCCAAGTTTATCTTTATTAAATTTAAGTTATCTTTATTAAATTTAATCTTATTTCATATATTCTGATTTAATCTGCAGGCAAAAAATTTTTTTGTTTGTTAATTGAATTAAAATAAGCATACTTCATAAGTCTGATTTCTAAAACCTAAATGCAATTTACAGTCAAATTTTCAGTTTTTTTTTTTATGTAGTCTGGGAAATTTTCATTAAAAAAGATTTTTGTACTAAATCTACCAGTGATAAGATTTTAAACCACTAATGATAAATACTCTGATTATGTTTAAGATTGAGTTTTTTCTTGTTACAGTTTGAAAGAAAGGCCAACCTAACTAGGTTTGAAGGTTCCAGCTCTATCAGCAGCGAAGATTTTTTTGGAGGTGATTCTAGAAGAAGTCCAAGTGCCTCAACGTACAATACTCCAAATCTCTATGATATCAAAGAAGGTGTAAGGGATGGAGTTACCAAGGTAGCTGGTAGAATTTCAAGTATTGCCAATGGTGTGATGAGCTCGCTGCAGGTAAAGCTTATTACGAATCATTGATATACTTTCTGGCATTTCCTAATCCATTACTTACTTATTCCTTTCCTGTTCTTTGATTAACATTTATAGAAGGATGCCAACCTTCCTCATTACTTTCACATTGTCAAATTGTTATTTTTTTTTTGGGCCCAATGAATTTAAAAATAAAATATACAGGCACATTAGGAATTAAATTTTATTTTTTCTTTATTACACCAAAGTGCTGGGAGCTCCTAATTTTTGGAGAGATGATATTCTTAATTTGATGAATTGTCATAAAATATATTTTTCCTAGAAATTTATATTTTACATATTTGCATTTTCCATAATCTATTTTTATCCCTTAGTCCCATAAATTTTTTTTACAGTTTTAAATTTGATGAAGGAAGGCTTGATCTCTTTATCAGCATAATGAGCAGTTTTATTAAATTGCAGTTTATTTGATAAAGTTCTGTTTGTAATGCATTTGTCAATTTAGAAGAAAGTCTAAATTGTCTTAATGTCAGATTAAATTTCTTGTATTCCTGCATTGGGAAAAGTTTAGGGTTTCACAATGTTCTCCCTCTGTCTTATCCTCATGTCTCTACTTTTGTAGTGCTCTATGCTTATCCCACTAGTGTCAATTGCTTTTTTTTTATGGGGTAGTTTTAAAAATTCATCATAATATCCTTGGAATATTTTTTGTTAACACTACTAGCTGTAAATATTTGAAAAGTGGAGAATAGTGGATAGTTCAAGTGTTAAGCTGAATTTCAACTTAATTGAGCTTATCTTTAATTTAACATGTTCATATCTTTCTATAATGACACAAGCTCCCAACTTATAGGTCATATGCTCTTCCAATGTGGGTTGCTATAGCGTCTCAGGACAAAAGAATTAAAACATTGACTTTTTTAACATTCGAAACTTTTAAAAAATATTCATATCAAACAAGTAGGGAAACAGGAAAATGAAAAGATTTATTATTAATATTATCATTGTTTGATTCTCTTTAGTTGTCAACTCTTTAACTGTTTGCTTGTTTATTGGCTTTTCTCATTTCAAAATCCTATATGTTGCACTGTTTGCCATATTATATGAATGCTAATAAATTGATCTGGGATGATTCTGAGTTATGATGTATGTCATCCTCAAAATAAGTGCCGTATATCCCAGTAAAGTCGATCTCTATTTTTGATTGGGAGATAGCAAATTTTTGCTATGTTAGGTGTCTGAGTTGACCACTAAAAAGTGAAAATTATTTTATTGTAAAATTCTTTAAGAAGTTTGGAATTTCAAATTCTTTGGAGAGGGACGATTTTTTGTGGGCTGAAGTAGAATCCATTGCAGAGGGGGATCCTTATGGCACAACACTGCTGAACATTATCTAATCTTACTCAGATGATATTCTGTATTCTTTAAAATTGTATCATTATAGTATGCTTTAAAAGTTTGCGTTGTGTTGTATTTTTTAAAATTACTCTTGAATAAACTTAGCTTTTCTGATTCTTAATTTTTTTTATGAATTTAATTAAAAGTATAAATTCTAAAAAAAATTAAAAAAAACTTTAATATGTAAAGGAAATATTTCGAAGGAAAATAAAAAACTAACTAATTAGCTGCATGTAACATTTTAAAAATAGTTCTTGAAAGAAGTAAATTGATACAGAGTTATTCATATTACTAGTGTGTAATTTGACCCTCTGATTTCTGTAAAATTTTGGGTTAGAAACGTCTACTTATGCTTTAAAAAGGCACATGATATACACATTTTAATGAGTAATGTTTTTATTATGTTCAAATTCAATACACTATTCAAAAGTATTAAGGTTTTTTCATTGTAGCGTTTAAACGGTTGATAATATCCCTAAATATCATGTCAGGTGTCTAGTAATTGTCTTTTCATTGTTCTTGAATTTTAAAATGTTAATTAACACAAAATACTGAAAATTTGTGGTTGGCATTCGTTTGTTGCATGTGTAACTAAATTTTCTTACTCACAACTTTGCATGTTGAACTAAACTTAACTCTTCTGTTTGCAGCGTAAATGAGGATTGCTGTTGAATAGGCTTTGCTCTTTGAAAACCTCCTGGTAAGGAGAGCTATTTGCTAAAATCAAAAAACTTTTTAACTATGCAAAATAAATAATTTCTTGACGTGTTTAATGTCCTATAATATGCTTATATAATAAATATTATTTGCACATGGGAGGGGATTGAAACAAAACTCAAATTGAATGATTTAATAACTTATGGTATTAGAAAATATTTTATTGTTCAATCACTTTTTAATTTACTATTGCAGTAACTCTATTCAAAATATTTTGAGTTCAGTTTCGATAAAATGGGAGCGTTTTAATGTGGCTATTGCAATGAATAGTATTAATTACTTTTAACAGTTGTTGATTTAATTTTGATTTTTTTTCTTTTTTGTTTCAAGGTATATATTTTTAATATTTATTTTTGAAAATATACATTCAGTCTCCTAAAAATTCAGGCTTTGTCAAAATGAATTACTTTTTTTTATACAAGATTCTATCAAAATTTTATCAAAAGCCAAAGTTGCATCAAAATCCAACCTAATCTCTACAAAAATATTGCCTTTCAAATGCATATGCGACTGCTACTAATTTAAATAAGACAACTGCATGAATGGTTTGCAAATTATCTGAAGAATGTGCATCATTTACTGCTACTACTAAATCATTGCAACTAATCATTACAAATTTTAAATTTTTAATCACTGAAGTTTTTAATACACAATAATTAAGTCTATTTATTTTTATTCAAGGATCGTTACGGCTACTGAAGGTGTGATTTCAAAGGCATCTCTGGGTCTCAGGGCAGCTGAAGCCCAATTTTGAGTTATTTTTAAAATTCGGCTTTAAAGCTGTTTCTAAAATTATATTTATTTATGTATATAGGCATGAGATAATTCTATTATGTAATGGGTTTATTTAATCTAAAAATACCTTTTTTACATAATTTAATGTAATGAATTTTAGCTGTCTTCACAAAGTATACCATTACATGAGAGGTAATATTATGAACAAATTAAAAGTATAATATGTATAGTAAGCTTTGTATTTTTAAAAGTGAGAAATTTTTGTGAGAATTAGATGCGTTTAAAAATTGTTTTTTGAAAAAAGTACACATATCAAACTAATACTCTTTATGTATGAGTTGCTATTTTTATTTTCTTGTTTTAATCTATACCCACTCTTGATGAATCTTTCTTATTAACTAACATCTTCAGCTTTTGTTATCTTTATAAATTCATTTGTAAATATAAAGCAATGTAGAAATATGCAATTTATTTTGTTGTAATTGGGAGATGTATGTTGGATTTGAAATTGTTTATTGTATAATTCTGCTTAAATCATTGTGTATTGGATTTTTTTGTATAGTTTATGTACCCTAGTGCTTTGTCTATGAATCCTTTTAGGTTTTGATGCTGTTTCTTTTTTTTTTTTATTCTCATAATATTTTATAAATTTCTCTGTGTAAAGATTATGTTTCAGATTTTTTAATCAGAATTATGAACTTTATCAGAATGATGATTATGAATTTTTTTAGAATCAGAAGTTTAAAAAGATGTTTTGTTTCTTTTTCCTTTAACTTTTTTAGTGCATAATATCAAGAAGTCGTCTTTTTATTTGACTTATTGAACATTATCTCACAATGATAAAAAAAATTAACTTGCACTGTTGTTGACCTTGGAGGTATTAACCTAAAGAATAGATGTGTCCAAATTTACAAACTGTGATTTTAATTCGATGCCTCTTTTTTTCATATATGTTTGTCTAATAAAAATCGCATTTCAGTCGGAGGAGAAAAAAAGGAGCTACACTGAACAGTTTACACCTTTCTAATCAGTCTATATTTTTAGAAATCCTATCTACTGGAACCTAATTAAGCTGTAGCTAAATTGAGCTAAAGGGTATTGTTCCTTGTTGTGTATTTCAATTTGACTGGTAAAATTATGCTCTAAAAATTTAAATGACTTAAAATCACATTTGTAAATGTTTTGCCCCTACTAACAATTTGATATAAAGTTGACTACAAAGTTAAACAATTTTAACAATATATTTTTTTTCCTGCTAAAAACTCTGTAAGATCAATCATCTTTTCTGATTTCTAAGCATACATTTTTTTGTTATTGTAAAGAAATTGTGTTGTATATCATAGTATTTATTTTCATAGTAATATGTTTTTGTCCGAGAATGCTTAGACTAATAGTATAATCAATCGAAGAAAGTTTAATACATTTCTTTTTGTAATAATGAATGTAAACAATAAGCATTAAGTTTTATTTTGCCTAGACATCTTTAAAATCTATCTATATATATATATATTTAATATATTCAGTCATTGCAAAATGTTGCTGTTGATTTGAATTTCATTGTCTTAAACTTATACATCTATTTTTTTTAGATTTTAAAATTTTTACTGTTTATTCATACCATAATTTTTAATTATAACTAAAAGCGATTTCTGTTGAAGGATCGTTATGCCTAATGTGGTGATGGTTTTGAGTCCGCCTGTGCTGTAAATCAAGCAACAACTTCTTCACAAGAACTGCTGCAACATAAATTGGAAAACAAACAAAAAATTATATAATAGAATGTGTTTATAAAAGAATTTTACGTTGTAAACATTTTGGAGAGTTTTCTATTAAATTACTTATATTTATGTTTTATTCTTTCTTGTCTTTTATTATAGTTATTTTTATCAAATCTGATAAGCTCATACAAGTTGTTTGCTTTCTACATACAGGGTTTCCTTTACCTGGAAAGTCATGAAAAATCATGGAAAGTCATGAATTTCAGTATTGAGCAAAATTTGTCATGAAATGTAATGTTTTTGCTATTTTTTTTGAAAAAATCATGGAAAGTCATGGATATAGGTCTCCCAGTGTTGCAAGTGCTGCTCCAATTGCGCCGATCCGTGCCAATTGTGAAAACCTGCGCCTACATGCTCCAAATTGNCCATTTTTATCAAGTTTTATCCACATATAAAAATACTTGCATTTACACTGTTTTAGAATTCTCATCATTTTCACTATACTTATTGATTGTGTAATTGTACTTTATCCTACCTTTTAATATGTTTTTAAAAACGTGTGTCTGGCGCAGCTTGTCCTCTCTGGACCTTGCGCCATTAAAACTTACATTCAATTCAATTCGACTGTTCTACTTTTGCTATTAAATTATTTCATGAGGCCGGGATAGCCTGGTTGGCAGGGCGTTTGACTCAAGTTCATGAGAACAGGAGTTCAAATCCAGTCGGTCAAAAACTTCCCATGTAGTGAATGGTGACTGGTGCACATTAAATCTTTTGGGTCACAAAGTCCCCCTTGTTCTTGTAACAAATTATACCTCTAGGGTACTGAATTGGATATAGATTGTTCTCTGATTCAGGTCAAAATTACGATCTGTTAATGAATAAATGTATGTATAAAAGGTTCCGCCCCATAAACGGGTGTGACAGAAATTGAATTCTTGGCCATGGATGGCGCCACTGAAAAACAAGAACACTCACACTTCTTGCTTTAATGGCCTATGACAACAACACTATTTGATTTTGTTGATTTCTCTTGATTTAATCAATAATTTTTCCAGATTTTGTATGTTCTTGAAAATTTCCTAAATTTAAGAAAGTTTCTAGAAAAAAATCTCTATCAAAATATTTTTTTACCTGGTTTATTGCTGGGTTGACTGTTTAAATAAGTATACTACTAAATATTGAAAGTAATTTGTTTGAAGCTATTTTTTTTCTTAATTTAGACCTCTGTTTAAAAATTTATTAAAAAATGTTTTAAAATTTTATTAAAGTGATTTAATTGTCTACTACTATTCAAATTTATGAATTCAATAACATTATAAAAACATTTTATATTAAAGTCCATTCATTTCAATCGAAAAAGGAAAATATTGCCAACAATTTAAATTTGCAGATTAGATTAGTCTAATAGGGTTATTGTAATTCATTGGTTATGAAAATCCCAACAATTATGTATATGAAATGTTCTATATATTACATACGTGTTGTGGGAAATTTTCTTTTGCGAAAGTTTCATATTTGCTACTGGCTTTAATATTTTTTCTGTTGATATTTCTGCTGGAGGTTTTTATTATTTAAGTTGACTATTCTGCAATTGTAAGGAAATGTTAAAATATTTATCATAATTCGTTAATTCTTAATCAAGGTTTAAATTTTTTTGTTAACTAAATTTTTAATACTTTTTAAACTCTATAGACACGAGTGATTTCGCTTATACGTCATAGCGCTTTAAATTTTTCAAAAATCATTCATAGCTGGTATGCAAAAAATAAACTAAATGCATCCCCTAGGGCACGTAATTTTTCAGCAGAAAGAAATTACAAAAATTTTAATCAACCTTTAAATACGTATATGAAAAGAAATTCGTTTTCTTTATGATTCTTAAAACAGGTGTTTCATAAACCCTAATTAAAAGCATTAATAGCTCAAATATAGCTTTTTTTGATATAAAATTAATTGTTTTGTTGAATAACATAATTATGAATCTGCACAATAAGGAAGAGAATTCAATATGCACAATTCAAGAGTGAACAAACAATACAAGAGAATTCAATATGCACAATAAAGAAGAAAATTAGGATCCAGAAATTTGGGTTCTAAGACTAGCAAAGTCAATCAGAATCACGGAATATAAAATAAGCTGATATTATAAAAATGTAGTTATTTTTTTTCTCTTAAAAAAAAAAACCAAAAAAAAAAAAGAAAAACCGAAGAATTGATTATGTGGTGTATTTTTTCAAAATAGTATTTCTTTAAAAAAAAAAGATTTTTTACTATGATAATTTTTTATGGTGGTAAAGAGTACTTCTATACTCTTTACTACTTTAAATTTTTATTTTTCTTTTTTCGTACTAATGGGATGAAAGAACATAGAAAAAATATGTATTGGTGATATTTTAATTAACTTCTGCACAGTTAAATTAAAAAAATAAAATTATCGTTTATCAGTGTTTTTTTATTTCAATATGTAAGTAGTTGTTAATGTTTACAAATGGGATGTTTTTAAAGAATACATACTTTTGTAGTTTTCAAGTAAAAAAAGTTTTTTTTTTTGGTTAAAGTTTTTTTCTTTAAAATTTTTAAGCAAGAAAGTTTGATTTGTCATTTTTTTTTTTAATTTGGAGTTCAGTTTTTTTTTTTTTTTTTTTTTTTTTTTTTTTTTTTTTTTNTTTTTTTTTTTTTTTTAGTTTTTAAACACTTTTTTTGGGGGGTTATTAAAAATGGGGTTTTTATGTCTACCATTCTATGCTATATATATCATTAAATTAGTATATATCTCAGTATTTAGTTTAAGATTACACACAAATGTTTTTTATTCAAGAGACAAAGATAAACACAACCTGATGCAATGAACCAAAGTAATCGGAGGTGTGTGTAAAGCTCATACAAAAATACTTCTGAACTTTTTACCTGTTGTCCTATATTCTTTCATTTTTGATGTTTTTAAATGATGTAAATGACCTACAGGAATTTATATCTATTTATTAACCAGTTCCCCAAGGTGGTGGCAATCGAACTCCCATCATGCACTTCTTTTCACAGTCCTCAGATGTTCTGCAACAGATAAGTGGGCATGGGCAATCCCCATTCCATCTGCAACTGTTGTCATCCCTTTTTGTTCTTCTCTTTGGAGGCTCGCTTATGATTTGGTACAGGAATAATTCTAAATCCCATGGTGTAGTTGCAGGCACATCTCCTATGTGGTTATCGAAAATATTTTGACCAGTAGTTACTTCAGATGTCGTAGTCTCTGTCTCGGTTTCAGTTGTTACTGAAGTCGTAGTCTCCGCATCAATTGTTGTTGGTTTTTTAGTCTTTGGTGGAAGTTGCCAGAATTCATTTTCGTTTTCACAGGCGCGGACTGGTGGATTAACTCGAGGGCAACTCAAACCTAGGAAGTGAAGCAAAATATAATTAGATATTAAATCTGTAGTTATTTGTGGAAGTATATGTTAGTTATTAATCTATATTCACCGATTCGAATCACTTTGACGATTCGTTTTGCCGAGATGCCAACTTGCTCCGGACAGCGAATAAATATTTCGACTGGTAGGCTATTTTATTTTAAAACCGTCGTTGAACAGTCGACCCAATTTTATGGGTTTACGACTACTTATGTTAAACTCCGTAGCCTTGTAATTTCGAACCCAATCCAGAAGACAAAGGAACTCCTGGATCGAGTATTGGGAGATATTTGCCTTCGTGGAGGACTTCTTGATGGAGCTAACCTGCATTTGCGTTACATGGAGAGGAAGACCACGAGAACCTCCCACGGTTAGCCTGACGGCAAGGGGAGTCTAATCCATGATCCGTTTACCACTGAGGATATTGCACGCCACCACTGTGGTCGGTGCAAGCCGGATGCGGAATTCTTATCGACTGGGATTCGAACCCGGTTCGCCTCATTGGAAGGCGAACGCTCTATCCTCTGAGCTATTGCGGCTCTGGTAGGTTATTAATTGTGATTCTTGGTTTAATAAATTCAATTTAAAAGGTTTTTAACCACCACTATTTCTAAATAACTCGAAGGCTTTTATAATTCACCACTTTGTTACCGATAAATCATGCTAAACTTTTTAAAAAGTAAGTAAAATTAGTTCAAAAATTGTAAATTTTAGTTTGTAGTTATTTACTGTGTTTTAAATTATTTTGCTGTGTCCGGAGCAGCCTGCATCTCTGGTTTTGTCAAACTCTAGCTGAGGCCTAGGGGACGTTTGCAATTTCTAGTTTATGGCCATTCTGAACCTGCATTGTAGTAAAAAAAAAAAAAAAAGGAAACGAAAATTTACTACCATTAATATATTTTTTTAAACCCTGTGAGAATCCTTTTAAAATTTAATTTATAAGCGCTTATCCCTATATGCCTCCACGTTGGTGAGTTTCGCCTCGTCTCATCTGTTAGGAAAATCCCGGACTCGATAACAAAGTAACACTTTGTCTTTAGGATTGGTTTTCATCTAAATTCCCTGTGTAATTTTTTAAAATTTTTTTTTTTATGGAGGGGAAATACAGGATGTGGACGAAATAATGGAAACACTTCTATACTAATAAATTTCTTCATCTTTTTCAGGAAATACTTTAGGAAACATTTTATAACTTCAGAAATGTTTAGATCATACAATTTCTCATACATATCAATGAAGTGTAAAGCTTTTACAGGTTTGAGGGATCGACAATAAATTTCCAAATTGAAAATAATATTTTTTAACACCCTATGCCAAAAAATGTAGCAATAATTATTTTTATTTACTGTAATAATATTGAATAACAAATGATAATACCTTAAAATAAACGTTCATACACCCAAAATGCGATTATATAAGGTAAGAAAACATGCGAAAGAAAAAATAGTTTTATGGGGGATGTTTTTTTTTAATAAATCGTGTTTAATAGCACAAAATGAAATTTGTGAAAAACCCCTTATCAATTAGAGCCCCCCCCCCCCCTTTATTTTGTTAAGGTATGAAAACTACTTAGAAAATTGCTTGAAACATTTAATATCTTTTAGACATTCGAATCGGACTTTTTTTATTAGTTGTCAAATACGATTCACTGCAAAATTCAGAAGAAAAAATTTTTAATTTTTTCCGCGCTTGCGCAGTGTAATAGAACTACTTTAATTACTCATATCTTGCGCAGTTTTAAGCAAAATTTTCTCAAATTTAAAGAAATAATTTTGTAGTTAATTTTAAATTGCTCCACGAATTTTGTTTAATTTTATTGGGTATTTTTAAAATTACTGCAAAAAAATCGCAAGACAAAAAAAATTTGTATTTTGTAAAGAGATGAATAAATCCATGAATATTTAAGGCAGGTTTACTAAATTTCGTGCAATTATCGCATATACAAAACAAAAAATAGTTTAAATAACAAATGTATTGCTGCATTTTTTTGGCACAGGGTGTTCAAAAACACTATTTTCCGTTTGTAATTTATTGTCGGTCCCCCAAACCTCTAAAAGTTTTAAACTTCATTGATAAGTATGAGAAATCGCATAACCTAAACACTTCTAAATTTATAAAACGATTTTCTTGCATAGATCAAAAAATGTGCCAGAATAGAAGTGCTTCCATTATTTTGTCCAACCTGTTGCACAATTAAAGAATTGATCACCAATTCCATTAACATTTGAATGAGAAAAGGTGAAAAGGTTTCTTTTCAAAAGAATTGCCTGTCTGACTATGTGAAGGCGTTTCCTTCGAATTTCCAACGTGACATTCTAAGTGTTTTAGTCATTATTCCACTTGTGGTTTTAGAATATATTTTTTTCTTTCTTAAATTATCTTTTTGAGTTAAAAGAAAGGGACAGGATTTCCTTCGCCTAGGAAATATTAACATCCTTTCCAATAGACATGTCACGTTTTATCTACTTGTCAAATTATACAAACAGTGATGAGATATATATTTTTTTCTTAATATCTATTGTTGATATAAAATTTCTCAGAATTATTTTTGTCCTTCACTACATTACAAAAAATTTAGGCATTGTTTTGCGCATGGTTGTATTAACAAGGCTAAAAGCTTGCATAGTTCACTTTCCTAGCTGCCTAATTTATCTTATATAGATAGGTTTGAATTTACAAAAAAAGAGAAAAAAATTCGCAATGACCGTATAAATTGGCACCTATGCATTGTTAATACAGAATAGGATCAGGGTGAAAGCATCGTATAAAAAAATTAAAATACGTTAGCAGATTTAATTTAAACTGTCAAACAATCAATATACTATTTGCGGCCATTAATACAGACTTACAAAATATTATATAGAGTGGTAGACGTATAATAATTAAAGCTTTCAGAATTTTAGGTAATTTTGCCAAAACTTTAAAAGCCTCACCACGAAAGAACTAGAACAAAGTAACGATGGACATGAACTTTTAAATCTTTTATATGTAGAGGTATGGAAGAAAAGTTCTAGTGAATAAAAAATAGTACATTTAAAACAGAAACATAGCTACCACTTAAATAAGTTATAAAAAAAATCGTAATAAGTTAGCAGCTTTGTTAGTGAAATTAAATATTATTATTTATATTGTTAAAATGAAGTGGTAGATAAAATATCTCAAATCAAAAATAAACAAAAGATATCATAACCGGTATATCACTGTTTTAATTTAATGCAAGGCTTTGACTTCTGTATGATTTCAATGATTGTTATGTTCAATGTAAATAAAAGGTTTATATATATATAAAGAATGATCAGCCTTCTAAACAAAATGCACAATTTTGATGTCGGAAAAAAAAAATAATAAATGCACCCGTCCTCCTTTGAAACTAACCCGTAGCTTCTAAATAAATAAAAATATATTTTTCTCTTATTTACTACAAACATATATGTAAATTGCACAATGAATTAGTAGTTACTAGGATTACATTATACAGTAATAATAAAAGAAATACTAGGTTACTAATAGTAACCTAGTATTTCTTTTATGAAATAATTTAAATGACAAAGGTCAAGTTATCTGGAATGTCAATTTATCCGAGGGTACCGCGTTTTTTGAGTTTGAAATTTAAAATGTATCACGAACATTAACGGGAAAATGGCCGTCCGCGCGGACGTCGGATTCGAGAAATTCGTTGTCCGCGAGGAATTTTTGACCGCCGAGGACGGGCGGGTTTTCGAGCCCTGGAACCATCAACCTTGAAAACACCGCAAGAACTTTAAGAGCACGCTAGTGCATTATTATTAACCATTGACTAATCATAGCCCGCATAAAAATGATGTACACATTTCCCTTTGAATTGTTGCTATTTTCAATTTACTTGGAAGATTTCATTTTTTATATTTAAAGTGGCTGTAAAATTTATTATTTGATAACTTCTGCGGCTGTTCAAATATTTCGTCATCACCTTAGGGAGTTGGGTTATTGTTATTTAGAAAAAAGTGCAGAGGTAAGAACGATGCGTAAGATAAACTTTTTTACAGCAAAAAGATGTAACAAAAAGTTTGTTGAAAAATGTTAAACTTGGAAATTTTTATATTTGTAATTAAAGTTACATTTGGGGAATTGAAAATTTTTAAAAATTTAAAACTTATTAAGATACTTTCAAGAACAAGCACGACAAGTCGAAAATTATATTCTCCTGCCAAACATGTTTCGACGGATTACTTAAAAAAATAGTTTACACTCGTGTATATATATTTTAACGAAATTATTATGCTGGACGTTAAGGATTAACCACAACAGTCTTTATGCACTTAAGAAATATTGAAAAATTAAGGTAATTTTAGTGTCTTATGCAAGCATTGCCCATACCTTCCCGTCCCTTTGTAAACAACAATAAGCAAATTAGAATATGTATTTGAACTGCCATAAAGTAAATAATTAGTTAGATTTTGTTCACAACGCAGGATATTCATCTTCAAAATAGTTTAATTTTGAAGATGATCAAGAAATTGAAACAGCAAGAAATTGTGCTCACGACGAATTGTGCTCGCGATGTGTTCCCAACACGAACGCCCATGATGAATTGTTAGTGAGACGACTTGTGCCCACGATGAATTGTTCTCGCGACTCCATATTATCGTATACAGATTCACAAACCCATCATCGTCTAGGTGCTTTCGTAATATGTATTTAAACGGCCATAAATTAAATAATTGGTTAGACTTTGTACACAATGCAAGATATTCGTCTCTAATTAGTTAGACTTTGTACACAATGCAAGATATTTGTCTCTAATTAGTTAGACTTTGTACACAATGCAAGATGTTCGTCTCTAATTAGTTAGACTTTGTACACAAGGCAAGACATTTGTCTCTAATTAGTTAGACTTTGTACACAAACACAATGCAAGACATTCGTCTCTAATTAGTTAGACTTTGTACACAATGCAAGATGTTCGTCTCTAATTAGTTAGACTTTGCACACAATGCAAGATGTTCGT